GGCATGCGTATGTTGCCCTGTCAACAGTTGTATTGTGCGCACACTTACCGCGCCCTTTTGTGCGTGGCAGCCTACTACCTGCAGCACAGGCAGTGAGTTTGGGCCCTGGCCTGGCCGGCGGACGGGCCAGTCCTGACGGCTCGCGGCACCCGGAGCGCGACTGGGAGACGGCCAGCAAGCGCTCCGCCGCCGCCAGCCGGACCGACGCCAACTCCGACTCCGACCGCGACTCGGACTCCGCAGACTCGCGCTCGCGGCGTGACTCCGGGTCAACCACCGGCGGTGGGGATCGCTTGAACTCGGACGCGACGACGCACGACCCCAGCTCCGACTCGGCGGAGTCGCACAGCCGCAGTGACTCCGAGTCGAGTGGCGTCGGTTGGGACTCGGACGAGCGGGATGGCGGCACCTCGGCCGACAGCGGCACAGTGCGGGGCTCGAACTCGGGCGACGAAGGCGGTCGCGGCGCTGCCAGCGACCTGGGCACAGAGGACGGCGCCAGTTCGCAGTCGGCCGACGCGGCCAGCGAGAACGACAGTGATTTCAGCTTCACCACGTGGACGCACGACCGACGCTGGAGCGACTCGGGCGACTCGGACGCCTCCGTGGACGGCACCGGCGCCTACTACGGCGGCTACGGTCGCTGCTACGTGTGCGGCCGGCGCGGCCACTGGGCGCCAGGCTGCCCGTTTCGCTGAGGGGCCGGCACCGGCGCGCTGACGGCGGACGGGTGCCCGGATATCTCCCGTGGCGGAACTCGAACGATGCAGCGATGCCAGGCTGTTATGGCAAATACGATGCCGCGAGCTGTGTGCTATGGTGCCTAGAAGAGATGGTTATGTTCGTCAAAGTCCTGACTCACGATTTTCAGCAGTGCGAAAGAAAAGACGCGATCGATCGACAAGTTGTGGTTTGGCTGTTGAAGTGGTTTTGGCCACGTTTTGATCCCACAAGCCCGCTGTGTCATCTGTGCTATTTATTGCGTTTTAATAGGTCAAAGTGCAAGTCGATGAATAAATACTCTGTTGACGTTGATTGTAGTGGTTCTGTCTACGGGAAGATGAACGCGAATCGTTTGTTACCGTACAAACAACTGGAGCCGACTCGTCGGTCATAGCCGAACACGTCACAGCTACCGGCCGTGGAATCAACGCGCTGTGGGCGGGAGTGGGGGGACGTGAGGGTTCTCGCAAGGCGTTTCTTAGACGCACCTTTGCCCTGCCCCTTCCCTCGCTCCGCTTGTGCCCGGAGCCTGGGCACATGGTGCAGGGCCGCAGTACAGCGGGGCGGCGTGAACTTCATATCGTAACCATGGCCGAGCCGCCGATCCAGCCGGATCAGGCGTCGGCTGCAGTCGCGATCCCTCTCATACGCGCAGTTACGGTACAGAAGCACAAACACACGGCGTTGGCCACTTGGGTATTGCGAGTGAGGCGCACAGATGTACGCTGGTCACGGGTACGTAGGAGAGGCGATCAGACGCGGGAGAGCTGCAAACCACAGCACACCAGCTGTCAACGTCGTGCTTTGGGGCTTGGGCAAGGATCAGGCTCTACCGGCCCTCGAGATGACGAACTGCAGTAACTGCGCACCATGAATTCAGTGACCCCGCGTTGTATCCGCTTTATGTTCGAATTCAGTGACACCGTGTTGTGTACAAGTCAATCCTCGGGTTGACATCCAGTACACTGCTTGCGGCTAAAGACGTCCGCAGTGGTCTGAACGACGACCATCATTGAAATATCAAGGGAGATTGATATGCCATGGCGTATTTCATTCACCTGTAGCACGAATGATAATGCACAAAAAGCGAACAATAGGACACTGTGTCTTTGCCATGCCTGGGACCACTCGAGGTAATAGGATAACATGATGGTTTCCTAAACTTGATTTTTTATCACATTAAAAAAAGAACAGTAGCAGTTGAATATGTAAGTAACCGGACCAAAAAAAGTCCATAACGGTAAGACGTGTCGTGTTGCTTTAGGTCTGTTCTATTACGTGATCAAAATGTTCGGCCTCGACGGCTCAAACACACATCAATGCACTCGGCAAACTGTTCACAGAGTTCACGTACTGAACCATGGGGATCGCTCGAAATTTGTATTCTCTTGTTGCAGCTACAGCTGTCTTCACAGGCGTGGTCCTGTAGGTCAGCCCACAGAAAAGTTGAGTGGTGACAGGTTAGCGAATGAGCTCGCCCTATCCTCGCCCACGAGGCCCTCCTGCGAGGAGGCCTCTGAGCTACCTGAAAAAGATTGTTAAATTCTAGGAAATCGTTTATTCTGATGCCACGACCGTGCGTGAGACGAAGTCATACATCCCTGAAAAGCTTTTTTGGGCAACACAACACTTGACTGAACAAGTTCCATTGACCTAGGCTCAGGTATAAAGGTCAGACAGAGGTTAAAACCAACCTGTTTTGTTCCCCTAAGTCTTGCGGTATGGGATAGTTTTTGGTGCTCATTTCGAGTTTATTGATAGCAGGAAACGCATTATATATCTTGCAAAAGGTCGCCAATCTAAAGCGACCAAGGTCAATAATTTGTTTTTTAGCAACATGCTTCTTAGCGTAATCGTTGTTGCTTGTTCAAATGCAAAACTCAAGGCAGCCTTGTATGATTTCAGTCACCATGAGCTTCGAAAGGTCAAACAAGGTCGTTCTCGGGTCACTTTGGACACAAACCCGAAGTTTGACACCCGAAGGTTATGGTTTAGGAACCTCAAACTTCGACCTCAGTGATTTTATGTACAGGAAAATACACCCTGCGAATGCGTAGTCTCTAGGTCTCTTAGTTTCTGAGATCCCAGCTGGGTCAAATTGACACCCCACCCGGGCGAAGGGTATCCAACCGACAGCGCGGGCGCGTCTTAAACTTGGATGTGTAGAGCTTGAACCACGTGAGCAGGGACAACCGGTGTTTATGGTCCTCACTTCTGTGAGAGCGCCCTGGAAGCTGTGAATTGCGTTTTGTGTTGTGTGGTCGGCTGCTCTGTTGCCCAGTGGTATGTTCCAGATAATCAAAAAAAATTCGTTTTGTAAGTTTCGTAATGTGCACAGTATCCTTTTTAATGAGCAGAAGCACGAGCCGAACTAAATTCGATTCACTGGAACATTCAACAAAATATCTTGTTTAGCCTTAGTGGCTGGTACTGCCAGGAGAAACCCAACAGCAACTCAAAATCGCTGCTCTCTCGCAGTCTTCTGGAGTAGCGTCGGAGCAACGCCATCTGTGGGCACTTGCGGCGTCCACTACGACAGTGAGATGCTATGTCATAATGCGGCTGTAACTTCTTCTCGAGCAAATAGCTTATCTTTGAGCCAAACCAAGATAAACCATTGTCTTATCATATTTTCACGTCCGCCAACTTAGATTGATTTGATGCATTTACACTCGCGTGCCACATTTAACACACGGTCGGGTGGGGCGGAGTCTAATTGGCCCCCTCCCCGAGGGTCTGTCCCAAATGGTTTCCGAACGGCGCGGCGTAGCCGCGTCAAATTCTGCATAGCTGTTAACAATTGAATAGCGGATCGATCGACATAAAAAAATTAGATGTACCTAGTAAGGTCGTTGACCTATGACAGGTCAAAGTCAGGCTATGGTCACAGCGAAGTCCATTTCTGGGGAATCGTGCAATCTGACGAAACAACAGTGTTAGATGTAGCCAGACATCTCGGAGATGCCTTCTTAGGCAGCACAAATATTGGATGAGCAAATAACGTTGACCTAATGTCATGTATGCAGATCAGACTAACGTCATGGCCAACCTGTTTTATTACACTGGGGCTTGCTGAATGGAATAGTTTCTGGTGATCATTTCGAACTTATTGATAGTAGTAACTGCGTTATACATATTCCATGGACTTCTTAAAGGTCAGAATATGTCATTGACCTAATATGACCCGGGTCAGCATTTGTTTTTAGAAACACACTGCCTAATGTAATCTTTGTCGTTTATTTAACTGCAAAATTCAGAGCAGCCTTCTATTATCTTGGTCACCATGACCTTCAAAATGTCAAACAAGGTTACTGACCTTAGATGAGCATGTGACCTTTTGCTTAGAAACAGTGATCTGGGGTCCTGGGGGCACTTTGGAGACCAGCCTGGGATTTGACATTGTCTGACCTTATTTGACCCGAGGGTCATGACCTAGGAACCGCGAACTTTGTCCTAAGTTAGTTCACGTACAGCTCCATACATCCTGTCAATTTGGTGTTTCCAGCTTTCTTAGTTCCCGAGACGGTTTTGTACGGGCGATTTCACGTTTCTGTACGGGCGTATTTAGCATAGACTTTTACGGTTCTGTACGGGCGCATTTTCGAATGTTAAAGATGGAGTGTGATTTTTATTTGACATGCTTTGTTCTGTCAACAAATCAAATTTTGACGAAACCTGTACAGTCAACGGGTGCTCACCAAGAAAAAGCCTTGAACGACGTTAAACTTTCATCATTTAATAACGTGGGTGTTTTTCAATGTCGTCCTTTGTGACTGATATTGTCGTAAATGGTGTTACTTCTCCTATCTGGAAGCCAAGGATCATTTCTTTCAGTGAGGAGATTGAATGTGACACGCGAACGCGCATCTGTAATATCTATTTCACACTACCAGCGTCACATCTTCAGGAGCTGTGAGATGTCTGTGAAGAAACCTCGGTGAAATACGTCCGTCCGTCTGATATCATACAAATTGTCACAACGCTGAAATACTAAACATATGTCCAGGGCACCCCAAGTAGCATCTCCCAGACTCATAATGACATATTGTCATTTGACATGTCATGTGGGAGACAACGCGAAATGCATCCGGCAGGATGTATTTTGCTGACTTCCTTTGGCTTTGCAGCATATTACAACGCCTTTGTGCCGTTTTATGTATCTGTCATCTATCTTTATGTTTAAGAGCCTCCAAAATGCGTAAATATGAGCGTCACAAATTGCCAATAAACGAAAAACTGTACAAGTACAGTACAAGTACAAAAACTGTACAGCCCTAGCCAAGATGGCTGACAGATGCTACACAGTCGACTGCCTGCCGGACCCCGCCATGGAGGAGTTCCGCAAGCTGGTGCCCGTCCATGGTACCCTGTTCAATCGGGATGCCCTTCTGGAGGTCATCTACTCGCGCCAACACCGTCCGTAAGTTGGATTACATAATCGGTGTGCTGTGGTCTCGGCAGTTTGCGTAGATTGATAAAATTGGCCAATCATAAATTGCAAGGCACATATATGAAGCACTGCCATGTGGTATCTACTTCACTTGACACGTCACCTGCCACTTCACAATTTTAAAGGATATGGTGAAGATCACCCTGTTACTGAAGTGTAGATTTCTTTGCACGCCATGATGGTTATTTGCGAAGTTTCTGTAACGTCCTGTCGTTCCAAACGATAATTGAGTCGTATGGAACGCCGGCGGTAATTTGTGAGGGACCGTGCTGTCCTTGACGACAGTCTCGCCTTTTCATCTCAGTTTTAAATGACAGTTGTATCCCGGATATGTCTGTGAGACGCCACCAAGAACGGCTCAATTTCTTACTCCCAAGGGCCACTGCCATGCCTTCCTCGTGACTTAACGTCGATCATCGCACCGTGCCAGCTTGTCTATATCGCACGTACCAGGCTGGTTTATCCACCATCACCATCATGCACTTATCGTATGTTCTGTTATCACGTAGCTAATGTAAAGACCAAACCAGCCTATTCGCTCCAGCAGTTAAACTCATTGACTTGTAACTAAGCCCCGGACGTCGCACTTTGCCTTCGGAACGAGAAAATGCTGTCTGAGGCACGTGTGTGACACTATCCGCTTTTGGGCAGGGATGATGACCTGTCTGTGCGCTACTACGCGCGGATGCTGTTCCGCGAGATCCAGCGAGACGTCGTGCTGCTGCCCATGTTCCGGGAGTACATGCAGCGGCCAGTGCAGCATCTGAACGTGCCCGAAGCCTTCTATCTGATGAGCCTCTGGATGGTTCCGGAGCAAACCGACAACCGAGAGTCCAATCTCCATACGTGAGTCTTTTATCTCTTTTCGAATCGTTCGATTTCCATATGGAATCCTAGGCCTTGCGCGCAAACATTCTGCCAGCTTGGTTGTGTTTCTGGTGTGTATGAAGGGTGCTTATAGGTGCAAGTTTGGTTTCATGCTAATGGGTGCAAGTTTGCATATGTCAAATCCCTTTTCTGTGTTCATTCGTGCGGATGACACTCGATTGCAGGCCGATGTTATCTACGGTTATCGAATCCACCTTTCCATTTATCACTTGCTCCAGCCAAATACCACGATGTGTTGTGCTTTGCTAGAAAGGCGTCACCAGAATTTGACATGGATTCTAACAAGCGATTTGGTCGAATTTCTTGCTGTTTTTTGGTGCTGAATGTGGTATTTGTCCGTGCTGTTCAAACAGCGTGATCGCCGTGATCGCGTATATTATATATCGCCGTCAGGGCGATGGCACACAAGGCACGCATCTCTCCCATTGCTTACGTCCTAGCTTTTTAACGTTCGTATCCCTGTCTCTTGCCCCCCCCCCCCCCCCTCCCCCGGAACAAAGATGAACTCGGATGTGCACGTGCGAGTCTTGACCTGGTGTGGTCTCTGCAGTTGCTACAGCAAGATCGCCGACTTGGTGTTGGATGAGCTGCGTGGACGGCTCCCCGAGCACCCGGCCGCCGCCTGGACTACGTGCAAGAAGAACCCGTTCGGACCCACGATGTGGACGGATGACCAGACGCTGAAGCTTCTGAACGCGATGAACGTCGTGCTGTATGACCAGCTGGCCCTGATGAAGGAGGACGGACCGGAGGACGGATCGGCTTCCAAACTGAGCACGCTGGTAAGTAGATTGCAATGAAGATTAATCCTCGTTCCTTGCACGTTTGAATGGGTGAAGTCACGCACAGAACATGTGCAGACTTCTATGTCTGATCTGTTTTTTTTTTTGTGGGCTGTGACTTGCAAAACAATGTTGTCAGCCATACGTTCCCGTCCGTTTGCCCTGAGGCGTATTACTGTGCCCCTCTCAGATGGCGCAACACCGAACACACTATTGTGATGTGTGCACAATCTCGAACGGTGACGGTGATGATTGACTATGATAACCATGATTAAGCGCTTGCTCATGCGGTTGTCACCAACATGTGTTGTTTTGGCTCGGTCAGTGTGGTTTATTTTATTGTTGTTTACATTTTCTGGCTATGCACTTGTACATCTCAGTAAACAGTTGTTTTGGAACCTATTGCTGCGTTTATGAATGAATGGGCTGATGGCTCTTCGTTCTGAATATGTGTAGGTGATTGGGTTGCATGGAGCGCAACGCATTCAATGGCTTGCCATTCCTTTTCAGGATATGTACCTTCGTCGCCACCTCCACTCTGCCGGATCCGGGACGCAGACTGTAATGGGGACCGTCTACTCCTCTGTAGCCGGCATGCTGGGCGTCAATCTCCACAACGTGCAGTTACCGCACAGCTCGATGATCTGCTGGCACAAAGCGTAAGCATTGCCGAAGGGGGCGTGGGAAATGATTCTGTTCCTCTAGCACTCTCAACGGCATTGGGACAGACTGGTTGTTCAGGTCATGGTTTTTTGGGAGCTCCTGCCTTATCAATTGGTATCTAATAGCTTATTTTTTGAATTTTTTTGCCATAGGTTTTGATTTCATTGCCATAGATTTTGAACTTGTGTGATTAGTTGTGCACTTAACTATGTTTCCTTGAGCTAATCACATGATGCGAATCAGTGATGTTACGCACATCATGTTTATGTTGCTTAAGAATATCGTGATTCCCAACGAATTTGACAACTATAGAATTTGGCTGTGGATGATTTGATCACATGCATACGGAGCATGTTCATCTTATTATTCGCCTAATTTTCATGTTGGCAATTAACTAATGTTTTGTAACTGCCGTGATCACACGTTTGGCGAACTTCTAGCGTTCCTCCTTGCATCTTAGTACAAAGCTCTGGCATGTATTCCTGAATGTCTAGGCAGGTTTTCAATGTAAAGCAGGTGTGCATAATGTGTAGACAGTGTATGCAAGCCGGAGTGTTTTGGGTGCTGCAGTAAATTGTGATATTTGTTAGTAAGGAATGCCGCTAATTGGTTAAAATGTAAGCCTCATGGGCGATTGGATTGCTTCCGTGTGGGAGGCTTATGAGAAACTTGCTTTGTGCCAAATTAAAATGCAAGATAAATCGATGTCGACGATTATAAGTCATCCTTTGCAATGTAATAATCATACCAAACCTTGAAATTTGCTGACATTATAGTCGAAAACACCCGTTACGTGTACACAACTCGTCATCACGTACAAACGTTGCACATTTTGTTGGAGTGGAATGTGTTTGTCATTCATGATCAGTGCTGCACTCAAATGAAGTGAGCAATTAAAAGTGATGGCACTGTGTTACATGTCATATTTAGCTATTGACCTTCTTCCTTTCCTTCATTAGAGATTTGATTGCTTTCCAAACTGTTTTCTGACAAGAATACCCGAATTATCACCGGCGTGATCAGCCTTATCACATTTTCTCCGTTGCTGAGAATATGTATCATCTTATCTTGTTTGACATCTTGATTTTCATCCATTCATAATCACAGTAGCATGCTTTAAACATAACATTCTTATCGCATAAACTGAATCGCATTTATTCACAATGCGTTGTCGTTTTGTGTAAATTCAACTTAATCATGCACTGACTGTGCTTGTCTTGCCTTGTTTGTTTGTCACTGTGCTTGTATGCTTGTTTGTTTGTGACTGCGAATATCTGTGCTGTACAGTGACGTATTCCTTTTCACGTGTCACATGCAGAAATTCACACAGTGTGTGTGGTGGCCTGACGTGCATCTCCTCTGGCAGGGACGGTGAAGAGGACCTGTTCATCGACGTTGTCCGCCGCGGCATGCGGCTGTCCTGGGAGCAGGTGACGGAGGAGCTGAATGCTGATCACCCGGAAGTGGACCTCCAGATGCTGGAACCCTTTCCGCGGGCAGGGGTGCGTAATGCATCGGATGTTTTCAAATTCTTGGACAACATGCCCTGTTACGTATGGAACTCATTGATATTTGAGAAGTATTCCATTTTATTTAAAAAGCGCGTGCATGACTCATTTGTGCAAAGAAACCTGATTGAATAGAGACCGACTCATTCTTGGACTGGGAGCACAGGAGTCCCAGGTTGAGTGTTTTGTGCTTTTACATGAATCTATGAGAACCAGCAGCCTTGCGACGGCTTGTGACGAGCCCTCGTGTCTGTACGCTCTCCATTGTCCGGCGGTGTGAGTGTGATACCAATCCTTGTCTAACGCAGTGTATTGTGTTTTGGCAGCTGCTGCGTCGCCTCATCAATGGCGCAGTCCATCCGGACGCCCGCCGGCCAGGGACCGGCTTCGACCTGGTCTTGTTGGAGACGCTGGCGTGCTGGGCCCGCAGCGACTGCCGTCCGAACACGGCGCAATCGTTGACCTGATGTCGACGATGGCTCGTGCCCGGCCCATGTACACGCGTCGCCTGTTGCAGGTCAGTGGTCTTGGATGTACGCTAGAGCTGGGCATGTGTTTTGAACAATTGTTGGAAAGATGCGTCTGGGTCACTATTATGTGCGCGATGAAAATGCACGATGGATGTGTAAGATACGCATGTGACTTTTAATATGCAAGGTTACGTTCTGGTCTCATTTTCGGTCCCCAGAAATCTCCAGCTCGTAAATGGCCTGCAATGGAGGGCTGTGCGCTGCGCCCATGGTGTTGCAACCAAAAGAAATGGCGATATGATAAGGAGTAATTAGTGATACTGTGTTTTCACTGTTTTTTCCTCCCTGCAGCAATTCGTCGAGACTAATGGCTCACTCGTGGCTGAGAACGAGAGACGTGGCCTGGAAGCGCTCATGAAACACTTCAAGAGGATGTACAAGCGGCTGGTGCGCTCCCTTGATGAACAGGAGGCTGAAGTGCAGGAATTGGTAAGAATGAACTGGATTTGATCAAATTGACAACGTAGGGAGTTAATCGTGTAGCTTCTCTTAATGCTATGCTGAGCTGTTCATGTGCATGTGCTGATGTGTGGGAGGTGGAAACGGGTTTGCGCGTGCGCCAGTTACGCGGTTGAGTGTCATGGTGTGTTGTTATGTATAATGATATGCCTGCACACTTATAAGTTAGTTTTATCTCTATTTGGTAAGGTTAAATAGTTTCGTGAAACAGGTTTAACCCTATACATAAGCATCATAAGCATTGTAAATTTGTGATGCAGGTTGAATCATTTCGTAGAAATTCATTTCTGTACGGTTGTTTTCTTCCATTTACTTTCTGTGATTTGTTGTGCGATTTCCTGCAGACATGTGACCCTGGATTCGTTCCTGCTATTGTCCTTTGAGCCCATTCGTGCACCATTATATTGTCAACCTGTTGTCTGATCTATGGAATGTATTATTAACTTCTCAGTTAGTAACGTTCTCAGTTAGTTTGTAGTGAGTTGTCCTCACATCATAAGTAACCTACATGGCGCTTGTTTCGAGCATTTATGGATGTGCTATTTTCCCACGTTATTAGTTTCTGGGCTTACTGATTCTCGTTTTTGTCTTCTCAGCTCATGTTCTTCTCAGTTATTTCCAGCGTCCCAATGCCCGTTTTAAATCCTGATGTCTCATTATCTCCTTGTGTTGTGTGCAATATCCTCATTCTCTTTATCCGTGTTTCAGGTGGACCTCCGCGCGGCTGGCCGAGCAGTGGGCGCTTACCGGAGGCAGTTTGGTGTGGGTGACGTCGTCACGTACGGCGACGGGTGCCTGGCTGTGGTGTACGGCTGCTCACCATGCTACGAGATCTCACAGGTAGGAGCGGTGCCAGTGGGATTGTCGTACAGGGCAGACCGTGCCTGATGTCATTTGTCCTATTGTGTTAAGAATTGGTGTAGTGAGGTGTTATTTTCTGAGGACTCAAAGGAACTGCTTTGTACTGTTGTTACTTCTCTCAGGGCAAGCCAATCACCGCATGCATAATCATTCTTTCATTGTGTGACTTGTGCTATACGAACCCCACAACCATCGAAGTTGTTTTCTGTAATGGAGGATATGCGATGTGTGTAATATTTTGGTATTTTGTGTATGTACTGAGGTCAGGTGTAATTTCGCAATGTCCTGTCTGTCTATACATCGTTTTGAATGTGTGCCCTCGCTGTATGGCAAACATCTATTGTGGTTTCATACAAGTATGTTGCAGTGGTCATATTCCCTGCTTGATTCGAAGAACCAATCGATGCATCGGTGATAGGCACGTAAATGTATCAACTTGTTACAGTTGTGGCTAGACGCATGTGAGCTCTTAAATGGTATTCCTGCGAAGTCTCAGTGCCCCCCCCCCCCCCTCCCCCCCCCGTCCTCATCTCTGACGACGGCCGTGCGGTGTGGGTTATTGTGCTGACTCGGTGGTGTTGTTTTCAGAACTGGACGGCAAATAGTCGCGTGTGCTCCGGGCTTCAGCGCGGACACAAGCAACCCTTCTACAGCTTGCTGCTGTAGGGTGACCGGTTCGGATACATGGCTGAGGGTAAGCAGGCTCTTCAAAGTGCTCTTCACTCTATTGGAGTTTTTACCTTTACTATTGGAGTTTTTACATGGACCCTCCCCCTCCTGGTGTTTGAAATATGGACAGGGTGCCATAAATATTTTGTTTGGTTGCATTGGACATGCTTTATGTTTTCACGAAACTCCGATATTCAGTCTGGCATGTGTACCCTGATGTACCCTGATGTACCCTGATGTAGGTTGCCCCTGATGTAGGTTTTCCAGCATCTTCTGTAATTTTTAGTCGTCATAAGGTTATGATTTGAAAGGCATCTTCATTACACAACCATACTGGGAAATGCACTATTAAGTTCAATTCACGCCCATGACTGCTACTCAGAAATATTCCTAGGTCGTCCCCAAACCACAGCAGATTGATGAGATGTCACAGATGTCATTACTCATCCATACTGGGAAATGCACTATAAAGTGCAATTCACGCCCATAATATTTTGTTTGGTTGCATTGGGCATACTTTATGTTTATTGCGAAGCTCCTATACGGAGTTTGACGTGTGTAATACCCTGATAGGTTTTCCAGCATCTTTTGTAATTCTTGGTCATCGTAATGTCATAATTTCAAATGCATCTTTATTACACAGACATACTGGAAAGTGCACTACATAGTGCAATTCACGCCCAGAACTGCTACTCAGAAATATTATTAAGTGATCCCCAAACGACAGCAGATTGATGAGATGTCTTGCCCCCATTCTGGCGTAGAGCGCCACTTGCGTCTGCGTCTAACAGAGGTATTTGGGTCTTTGCAGAGGAGCTGCAGCTGTCCCCGGATCCCCAGCCAATCAGCCATCAGGAAGTGGGTCGCTTCTTCACCCGGTTCGACGGCGAACGGTATGAGCCGATCGCTCCGCTGGCTATTCGCTTCCCGGAGCCGCTGTGTGAGCATGAGACGAAAGCGAACTTCGTCGAGTCTTCGACAGATGGAAGCGACAGCGAATGGGAGGACGACGTTGGAGATGAAGAGGAGGATCGGAGACCCTCACCGCCCACAGTGTGGATGGGCGTTTGGCCAGCGATCCTCCCCGAGGACTCAGATGATGAGGACACCGATGGTTGAGCCGTGACCGCTCACGGTGATCCGTTGAACCACTTATGGCTATGTTTGGGCTGTTAAGAATAGCTCACTGGTGTTAATGAATACCTCAGCTGCCTCAGGTACTCTGTACGGCTGTACATATGCGTGTATGCCCGTGTAGGTGTTTGGCATGCAACCAGTCAGTGGTCTTTTTGTTTGATAGCTCGTGCTTCATTGGCGTCGGTTATCCTACGCACTCAGGGTGGCAAGTACATTGTCATGGTTTGCTGTGCCTTCTTTTGTATGTGATAGCATTCTGTGTCATCGGTTGTGTATGTGATGCCAGCTTTAGAAGTGTGTGCGTGTGCCATATGTACATTTAGATGTATCAAATGATTGGTATGTGACGACTGATTTCGTACTCTGCATGCAATTTTGGGCTGTGTGATAGCTAAGCATTGATATTTAGTCAATTGTTGAGGCATTGAAGTGTGTTCATTGTCATGCCTTAGGTGGTCATCGGCTACTGCTTTCATAGCTGTCATGTATTGTCAAGCTGCGTGGTTTAATATGTCCGCTGATTACGTTCTGTGTGTCTACATTTACCGTTGGTAACTGGCAGGTACCAGGTGCTATTGGTTAGCGCCGTTTTATAAAAGAACGACTTCGGGTTTTGTGTACCTGACATGGAACCATGCCCTGCAGTATTTGTAACAATGTATATGATCATGCAAAATATACTGAGAAATTGTTGCAATGTGTTCTGGGATGAATGAAAGACGGCTTTGAATAGGCTAGTATCTGAGCAATAAGAGAACACGGACACCGTAACTATGACATATGCAACCTTACTCTGCCACGGATCGCTATTCATCCTTTTGCATAGATTTTTAAAAGCATGGTGGGCTTCGGTTATATTCAACAAGCAGGAGTCCCCTAACATCGCAGAAGTTCTTAGCAGATAAGTTTTGAGTGCACTTTACTTGTTTGTGGCAGCTGTTGCGTGGCATTTTTTGGATTAGCAGTATAAAGGCTTTTCCTTTTTTTGACAGCTGGCTGGGGTAGCCTGTCCTGACCTTGGTGACTGCCCTGGGTCCTTTTCGTCAACTAAGCGTTTCTTCGGCTACGGAGGGCTTCATCGCCGGAGAGATTTAGTCATCTTTAGAACCCTATGGACGATTAAAGTCTTCTCAACCCCTCTGCGCATGTTTGACGACTGGGACCACTGACCACTTTGACCATTTACATCGCTCAAAATCTCTCCTGGCTGCTCGATGGACTACCTGACTGGCCAGGGACACTTTGGACACTTCAACGAATGCTCCAGGCTGCCTGCCGCCGCTTAGTGCCCGTCTTGCCGCTCAGGGATTTCGTTCTGAAAGGAAATGTTCCTCAATGACTATGTTGAACGAAGCATGAAGCATAATGAAATCAGGTCACTTAAAAGCATGAGTATCGATCTCCTAAAAGGTTTGGGGGGCCGGATTGTTAGGAGTCATCATTGGGGTGCAGATCAAAACCTCTCTTACTTCATGCCTTATACATATATATATATATATATATATATATATAATATATATATATATATATACATAAGCACTTCACTACCCTTCTAAAGCTTATTTGCGTAGCCACAGAAATCATAGATGAAGACCTCGCAGATTGCATCACCTTTTTATATTGGGACCTGTTTGCGTGCCTTTAACGTGCCTCTCCTTGGCCGACGTCACGTACGGAGGGTGGAAGTACCCGCCCCACTAGCTCCGGTGAGCTGAGCTTAGCTCCACTGAATTAGAGCGTCGCCTAAGAGATTTGTTTGGTGCGCGCTCGGGTGTGCGGTCAAATTGACACCCCCAATGGTTTTTCCAGAGTGGTTTCTGAACGACGTGGCGTAACCGCGCCAAATTTTGATAGTTGTGGGTAAATGAAAAGCAGATCGTTTAACATCCAAAAATTTAGATGTACCTTGTATGGTTGCTGAGCTATGGCAGGTCAAAGTCAGGCTTTGGTTTCAGCAAAGGCAATTTCTAGGGAATCGTCCAATCTGATACAACAACGGAGTGTCTGACGAAGCCATACATCTCTGAGGTACCTTCTTAGGTACTACAGATATTGAATGAGCAAATTACGCTGACCTGAGGTCAGGAATGTGGGTCAGACCAAGGTCACAATTGACCTAATTTATTACTCTAGGCCTGGCTGTATGGGATGGATTTTGGTGCTCATTTTGAATTTATTGACAGCAGAAAAAGCATTGTACATCCTCCGTTGACTTCCTAGATGTCAGAAAAGGTCATGGACCTAAGATGACCCGAGCCTCACTGAGAAAGGGGAAAAAACCCATGTTTCTGCCGCGTTTTCTACGTGTGCTCGTATGTTTTAAGACGTCTGGGCTACAAGACTGCTACGGAGGCTGGAGTGTTGGTTATAATTTGTGTCGAGTATTTTATGTCAAATCTGCTCATTTTGTCCGGTTAAGCAAAGGAAAATCACTCCGGACCGACTCCTGCGATGCAACAGTCGATGCAAACGTACAGAACAGGATGTTTGCAAAAAAGAAACAAACGGGCAGGCGCACAGATTACGGACGGGAGCGCTGTGACAGACAGGACGGAGTTGTGGCCGCAGTGCCGGGCCTCTGGCTGAGAGTGGCAGCCGTGGGAGCGGGCACTGCACCGGACTTGTCGGGCGAAGCTGTCCTGCACGCGACAGACGGAGCTCCATCCGTCTGTGAAAGACCGTGAGCCCATGTTGTCTTAAAGTGGAATAATGAGTCGATCACAATGGTGCAGCTGGTTGTAGTCGAGGGTACATTTTGGTTGTAGTCGGAGGTGCGGTTGGCTGTAGTCGGCGATGCGGTTGGTTGCAGTCGGATATGCAGTTGGTTGTATTCGGAGGTGCAGCTTGTTATGGTCGGGCTGCGGCTTACGTCCCTTGATTACTGGTAGCGTTATGTTGGTGTGTTTCTGTCCTGTGGCCTCTGACTGGGTCTGGTTGCGTCTAGGATGCAGCAAAAAAGGCGAAAGACGTGGGAATATGGTGGTCGCATCTGATATCTGCTCGTGTGAATGAGATCACGGCCCAAGATCCGTTTCACCCTTTATCGAAAAGCAACCGAAAGCCTAAATTTGTACTACTTTTCACCCCGTAATTGTGGTGAATTGTCACGGACTATACGATGGCGCGAGAAATCTGCCAGTGAAGAGTGCTGGAGCCTGGCAATATCACTGCGACCATCTCCCGCGTCGCGCAAACTGTGACTTGAACCCTGCCCGTCTGTGACGACGCCCCCTGAGTTTATGTGGCGACAGAGAAGCTGGAGGCACTAACAAGGAGCGTCAGCAGACGGCGGCCGACATGCAGGCCGCTGCGGCCGCCATCGAAGACCCAGCTGGGCGCGCTCCGGACGCCAGGCGTGAGCTGCTCGAGACCCAGCTAGCCGCGACGGGTGGGTCAGACGGCGGCCGGAACGCCGGCCCGCGCCTGCGGGCAGTCTGGGGTGCACGCCCCCCCGGCAGGTGACGGCCGGCGGATGCTGTGCGTGTCATGCCGTCAGAGTCGTGCATGGAGTGTCCTGCAGAGTGGCGCCTCGTCGCCGCCATGCTGCTCTTCATCTAGATCCTCCGTGATGTATGGGTGTAGTGTTTGGCTGGGCAGTATGCCGCGCCCCTGCTCACGTGTGATGTGGGTCGTCGTTGTCCCCCTGCCCTGGTGTGGCAGTTGGTATGTGTGCGCCGAACGATGGGGGGGGGGGGGGACGAGGGCGTGTACATGCGCCGACTGCTGCCGCGCCCGATCACCGGCGGGCGCCCCTCCTCTCCCTTGGCTGCCGGCGGTGTCCCTGGCGTCCGCTGACAGCCCGCCCCGGCCGCCAGGAGCCCAAGAAGCAGGCGGCCTGCGGTCAGCAGCTGGCCCCCCGCCAGTCGGTGCTGGACGGCTTCGACCAGCTCATGGACGCCGAGCTCACCTGCAGCGTCTGCTCCGAGATCTTCTTCAACGTGAGTTGGCGGCCGCGACGCCGCACCGCTGTGGCCAACCCGGGCGCCGGCCCGCTGTCTGTTCGAAAGCACAATATTTCTATGATTTCACGACGCGTGAAACGCAGGGTCTTTGGCGTCCCTGGTGTCGCAGTCTTACGTCGATTGTAGGACCTGCATCAAGGAAAGGGAAGTAGACGCAGGTGGGCCCAGCCGTTCGCTCAACTCTGTAGGGGTGTCTTTGTCGGGACGCCAGTGCTCATCGCCGCCGCCGCCGCCATCTCCGGCAGGCGCTCACGCTGAACTG